CAACCACCAGTCCTGGAGCCGTGACGGCAGGAGCAGGAGGAGCAGGATCCTCGCAGGGCAGCGCAGCGCGGGGAGAGGGGAGGAAGGAGGAAAAACAAAGGCGAGTGAGCCAGGAGCCTGCACCGCCCTCCCCGCGCCTGCCCACGATGTGTCAGTCAGAGGCGCGGCGAGGACCAGAGCTCCGCTCGGCAAAATGGTGAGATGCTGCCGGCCACGTCCTAATCCCGCTGTGCCCCGCCACGACCTCCGGAAGGTCAGAGTTCACGTGCAGCGGCCCCACGGTGGAGGTGGCAGCAAGGGACCCGGGGGTCAGCCCCCGCGGCTGGAGGGGCCTAGCCCGGGGGGCCTGAGCACCCTGAGTAGGAGAGCCCGCTTCAGGTACCTGCAGTTCCTGCTGTGCGGGGGGCCCAGTGGGGGTGGGCCACTGAGCTGGGCTTCTGACCTATGTCAGTCGTGTCCCTCAGCGGTTCTCCAGGCTCCCTGCTCCCCCAGTGCTTCTCCGGCCCCTTCCCGCTGGTGGGAGGGTGCAGCGCTGCAGGATTGGTCTGTGTTCTGCAGTGAGGAGGGCGGCAAGGCAAGCCCCGGGTGGAGGGAGCAGTGATTTGCCTGTCTGCACTTGGCCCTGCTGCCCCCCAGACCTTTTCAGGGCACGGTGGGGCAGCAGGCGGGGTGGGGTGGGAAAGGAGGAAGCAGCCGGCTGGGGGGTGGGCGCCTGGGAGCTGCAGGCTGCAGCCCATGCACTGAGCCACTGCACGGGTGAGCAGGGGGCGCGGGGGTTCTGCTCCCGCTGCCAGCTGAGATGCCTCTTTGTTCAGCAACTGGGAGACAGAGGCCTTGGCTACTGTTGGGAGCACAGTCACGGGTGGCAGTCAGGTTGTCCTGTTCAATGTAGGTGAGGAAACTGAGGCCTGGGGACGTTCTCAGAGTGAGTGCTGTGTGGTCTGACGGCCACCCTGGGGCATCAGGAGCACTTTCTCGGACCCAAGCACAGGACAAGGGCACTTGGGCCTCGTTGTACCTCAGAAGGCCAGTGACTTGCTGGGAAGAACAGGCGTCCTAGCCGCGGGCAGCCGTGGAGCTGAGCCTGCGCGCTGGTGTGCTGAGGAGGGGCCCGCCACTTTGTCTAGAGGAGGGACTGGGTCAGGTGTGTGGTCCCAGCAGAGTGGGGCAGTGGCTTGAGAGTGTGGGTGTGGGTTCTCCCCTCAAACCTGTGGATGGCTTTAGAGAACCTGACCTACTGCAGCAAGCCGCGCAGGTGGACGGGGTGACACGGGGGCGTGCGTGTGTGCATACACGTGTGTACACGCATGCATCCTTTGAGATGTTTTCTGGCCAAGTCCATAATTTAGCATATTAGGAAACAGGAGGCCTGGAGCTGTGGAGCTCTTCCCAGAGCTTGCAAGGGGTGGTAGCAAAAGACAGCAGTGCTTACCTCGCCGAGGGGCAGAGCTCCTCGGTGCTGCGGGGGCTCGGGAGCTCAGACTGTCTCCCTGGCCGTGGCAGCCTGGTGATGTGAGGCATGGCTCCCCCAGCCCCTTTCCTGCTCAGCAGGTGCTCCCTGAGAGAGGGGCCAGGAGCTGGGCCTGCCCTCCTGCCTTGGCTACCCACACCCCTGTCCCTCCCCTTCTCTGTCCTCCTTAGCAGGCGGGCGGGTGGGAGACAGGGAGTGAGGGGCGGCCAGGGCAGCGAGCCCTGACTCAGAATGGGGTGGATGAGGGGGACACGGCGCAGGGACGGGCAGGTCAGTGGGAGTCCTCCTGGGTCCCTGCCGGACCCCGGCCCCTGACTGGCTGCATGCGGACATGTACCCTACAGGTTGCAGTTTCCCCAGCTGGCCCTGAGGCGGAGACTGGGGCAGTTGAGCTGCATGTCCAGACCCGCCCTGAAACTGCGCTCCTGGCCCTTGACTGTCCTCTACTACCTCCTGCCTTTCGGCGCCCTCAGACCGCTCAGCCGGGTGGGATGGAGGCCCGTGAGCAGGGTAAGTGCACAGGCTGCGTGGCCCAGCCCTCCCGTCCTCCGGGAGGGCCTGAGGCTCAGGTGCAGGAGAGACGGAGCAGACTAGTCGCCAGAAGTAGAGGCGATGGCTGTGTCTTGGCAGGTTCATTTGCTGGGAAGACCAAGGCATGTTTTTATTTTATTTGTTTGTTTTTGTAGAAAGTTTATTTCTTCATGAGGAAGGACAGACAGGCATTCCCAGAAGGGTCCTCAGGCTGTGGTCCGCCCCCAGCCCTAGCCCGGATCACAAGCACATGCATGCACACTAGCCGTGCACGGGAGACCTTGACATGAGCCAGGACCTCCCCGGCAGGCCCAGCCCTGCAGTGTTGCTACTGCCACGCTGCCACACCCAGCCCCCGACAGCTTTCAAGAAGGCCGGGTCGGATCATGGCCAGGTGGGCTGCCAAAGAGGGACTGCGAGCACTCCTGGGAGGAGCCCTAGGCACCCTGGCTGGGTCACAGGACAGGGCCTCTGTGTAGGGCCAGGGAGCTCGGCAGGGGCAGGCTCCCCAGACTGAGCATGTCCAGGCCCTCCACGTGCCGGCAGGACCTGCAGGGGGAGCAGACTTGGATCTGCAGGGCAGGCCGGATGATGGATAGAGCAGATCTGCCCCCACACCTCCCTGCAGCTGATGGTCAGGGGCCTCCTCGCTCTGTCAGGAGAAGAGGACCTGCACTCCAGGGTACACTCACCTGGGCACTGGGGGCCGTCTCCGTTCTCTAACCGTCTGGGGCAGTGACCGAAGAGGGCAGCCTGCCCCCGAGGTGCAGACTCCTGCCAGTCTCCCTCCGGGTAGGGTAGCATCCACCCAATCTACGCCTGGTCCCATGTCTGCTCAGTGGTCTCAAGAAGTAAGACCGCTGGCCAGTGTCACTTCTGAGACCAGGGCAGTTGCTATTTGACCTTTGCACAAAATGGAGACAGTGACCTGAGTTGCACGTAGATCTTGTCTGTCTGTGAGAGCATTCGGTCCAGAGCCTGGTTCCTACTGAGAAACAGCCACATCACAAACCAGTGGGCCCCTGGGTCTCCCATGGTGGCCCTTATTGGGTGTGTGTTTTCTCCCACCGTGGGGACAAGGGGGCCAGGGCATTCATGCTCTTAGGAGCTGGGTGCAGTGTGGCCAACTCAGGCTCTGCCCTGTGGCCTGCAGGTGGCCCTTTACAAGTCGGTGCCCACGCGCTTGCTGTCACGGGCCTGGGGCCGCCTCAACCAGGTGGAGCTGCCACACTGGCTGCGCAGGCCTGTCTACAGTCTGTACATCTGGACCTTCGGGGTGAACATGAAGGAGGCCGCCGTGGAGGACCTGCACCACTACCGCAACCTCAGCGAGTTCTTCCGGCGCAAGCTGAAGCCGCAGGCCCGGCCTGTCTGTGGCCTGCACAGTGTGGTGAGCGCAGCGCCCCCCCCCCCTCCACTTCTCCCTCAGGGCCCAGCATTGTTTTTTCCCATTGCCAGAAGGCACACGTGCTTGCTGGGTGTGGAGGGCATCCCCTCTTCCATTTTGATCTTTTCAGGATTTGGGGCACACATGTACACATGCCCAGCATCTTTTACAAGTGCTAGGCCTGGGATTTGAACCGGGAGATATGGTTCCTTTAACTACTAGGCAAAAGGGCTGGCCCAGGGCTCCCAGGATTCTTGCCTGTCTGTGGGAACTAGGCCCAACAGCTCTGGGCTGTGGCCCTGGGGGGTGGCTCCTCCCAGGGGACGTCCTCTGGGGGGAGGAGACCGTCCTTTCCTGGGTAGCAAGCCTCTCCTGCCCCTTCCAGATCAGCCCATCGGATGGGAAGATCCTCAACTTTGGGCAGGTGAAGAACTGCGAGGTGGAGCAAGTGAAAGGGGTCACCTACTCCCTGGAGTCGTTCCTGGGCCCACGCACCGGCACAGAAGACGCGCCCTTCCCACCAGGTGGGCCCCTGTGTGACGGAGCCTGGGCAGCCGTGGTGCCGTGTGGTTGGGCTGAGGGAGGGAAGGGCATCCTGAAGGCCCTGACCTGAGGCTGGCACATCGGCTAACCATCGCCCCGACTGAAACTTGGGCCCCCTGGGGACCCATGTGCAGACCACAGGCCTCAGACTGCATGCTCGCTGTGGACTGGTGGCACTGGGAGCTTGTCTTAGTCTGGCCGCTTGTGTGTCCCACCCCAGCCACCTCGTGTGACTCCTTCAAGAGCCAGCTGGTCACCCGGGAAGGGAACGAGCTCTACCATTGTGTCATCTACCTGGCCCCCGGGGACTACCACTGCTTCCACTCCCCCACTGACTGGACTGTTTCTCACCGGCGCCACTTCCCAGGTAGGCCCTGTGCCTGCATGTGGGTGGGAGCCATTTCCGTGGGCTTCTTGGCATCTATCAAGGGACCAGGTTCCAGGAGTCTGGGTGGTGGACAGAGGGCTGGGGTCCTGCCTTCTCTGCATTTTGGATAGGCAGGGCTCCAGGCAGGGAGTGGCAATGGCCCTGCTCCCACAGGCTCCCTAATGTCGGTGAACCCGGGCATGGCCCGCTGGATCAAAGAGCTCTTCTGTCACAATGAGCGGGTGGTCCTGACCGGGGACTGGAAACATGGCTTCTTCTCACTGACGGCCGTGGGCGCCACCAACGTGGGCTCCATTCGCATCTACTTTGACCGGGTAAGCAGACTAGGCCCTGCCGAAGCACGAGGGCTGGGCTGGACCCCTCCGGTCTACCTGTGCTGTCTGCTGTGCAGCTGATCTGTCGGACTAAATTCGAGGGGGCGGGGCGCATCTCTGTTCAGGCCTGGCTTTGCTGAGCAGCTGCCCTGAGGAGCTGCCAGCTAAGGCCTCACTGCTTCCCTCCCTCACACTCTGCCACTTGCTCTTGTCTGGAGGTGGCTGGGAGAGGTGGCGGGAGTTCCTGGTGCTGCAGTGCCAGGAGGCACGGTCAGAGATGAGGGAGGACACTGAGCTTGGCTGGGTCACATCGAGTGGAGGCCTGTGGCCCACCCTCCTGGGAGTGTTTGTGGTGACCCTGACTCCCACGGGTGTGGGTCTTGCTGCACCAGTCACGCTGAGAGAGCTGGGCCCAGTTCACAGGTGTCGGGAATGGTTGGTGTGATTTGGTCAGAGCAGGCCCACCAGCTCCGAGATGCTTCCCCACGTCCCTTTCTGAGCTGGGCTGGAGACGAGCAGCAGAGGGTGCTGGTCTGGGGAGGGGGGTTGGGGGGAGCTAGCTGTGCGAGTTCCGCCTGACCTGCCCCTGCTGCTGCAGGACCTGCACACGAACAGCCCAAGGTACAGCAAGGGCTCCTACAACGACTTCAGCTTTGTGACACACGCCAACAAGGAGGGCATCCCCATGCGCAAGGGCGAGCACCTGGGCGAGTTCAACCTGGGCTCCACCATCGTGCTCATCTTTGAGGCCCCCAAGGACTTCAACTTCAAGCTGAAAGCAGGACAGAAGATCCGCTTTGGAGAGGCGCTGGGCTCCCTCTAGAGCCCCTCTCCCGGCTGCAGCTGCTGAGGGATCTTCTCCAGAGAAGCAGGAGGGTCTTCTAGAGACCCTGTGAGGCTGCCCGGGTGAGGGGCCTACCTCAGGGCTGTGAGGCCTTGGGAGCTGACCAGGTAGGACCTGAATGACTGCCTCTGCCTGTCCTGAGGTGCAGACCAGAGGTTCTGGATCTTTCTCACCAGGTCAGAGCCCTGGTGGTGCCCTGAACTGACGGTTTCCCTTCCCTCCCATGAGAAAAGTACAGGCTGGAATGATCTCAACTTCACTTTAGGATGGTTAAAAACATGCTGTCACCTGGAGACTAGTCCTTCTCCTGGCTGAGCTGAGCATTCTCGGGTCTTGGGTTTGGTTTTCAGATGAGTGGGAATGCACCTCCTTCCTGCCCTTCCTGTCCCCAGGGCTGTTTTCTGTCGGCCCCTTTGGTTTTCTTTGGCCTTAACCCTCTGCCTCTCCCTGCACAGTGCACAGGGTGAGGGGCTGCCCTGCTGCAGAGCAGGGCTCTGCGGCCTTCATGACAACCGCTTTCTGTTCCCAAGTTCGCCTCCCCCTGCTCATTGGAAAAAGTGTAACCTTCCTTCTTTGCACTCATGGCCGATGTGTCATCCTGGACTCTGCCAGCGTCTTCTGAGGATGGGGTCTAATGACGTGGACCTCTGCAGGCCCCGAGGAGCCCCTCCTGGAGCTGGCCGAGTCCTCTTGGCAGCAGGCAAGGCCAGAGCACTCCTGATGGCATCCTGCATGAACAGGGCAGGCCGGCGGTCAGCCAGCCGGGGACCCGAGGGCTGCGTCCCATCCCAGATCCCGTGGGACAGTTGCTGCTGTTGGTGCAGGGAGTGTTGCCGTGTGGTGGTCAGTGCCTAGAAAAGCTGTCCCTGGTAACAGGTATCTGTCTTTGGGAAGCCCCATGGTGGGGACAGGGCTGGGTCGCATATTGATCCTGGGGACGCTGTGAATTTCTCCTGCAGGAGAAGTCATTGAACTTTTTCAACTGTATCAGTAGCACAGTATTTTTGTATGAAAAGTGGGAGACTTCTGAACAGTAATTCATTTAATTGCAAAACATTTTGAAATAAAAAACCTCATTGTAGCTTTGCATTCTGTTCCTGGGGGCCGCCTCCCCGCAGGCCAGCACCTGCCTCCCGGATGAGTGCACTAGCTCAGGGCCTGCCGCAGAGCCTGGACTCGGGCCACGCAGGCACTGATGGGCTGGCGCTGGGCCCGTAGCTCCTCGGCCAGCTGCCGGATCTGGACTTCCACCTGGGGACAAGGGGAGGGATGGGCTGAGCTGAGAAAGCTCGCTGGGGGTGTCCCAGGGGGGCTGGCCTGGGGTCTCACCTCCTCAAGCTCTTTCTGCACCTGCCGCTCTGCTTCCTGGTCTGCAGGCCTGGGCTCTTCCCGGCTCAGCTCCAGCCACTGGCGCAGGCTGCTTGCTTGCCGCTGGTAGGACCTGAAGGGGAGACACCTGCTGCCTGGCTGGATTCTCAGCAGAGCTTCATGGACACCCCTCCGGCTCGGGGAGAAACACATGAGCTAATTCTTTCTTTCTTTTTTTTTTTTTTGGGAGGGTTTTTCATGCACTCGCCCGACAGGGGGAGACAGAGACAAGAGAGAGACAGAGAGACAGGGAGGGAAAAAAAAA